AAAAAAAAAAAAAAAAAAAGAATAGACCAGAATGGAGAGCAGTTGGAAGACTACAGCAGTGAGAGTGATGGGTATGGTGAGAAGAGGTTAGAATTGGACTTGCTGGAATAGATGAGGGAAAGTCAAGAATCAAGGTAACACCTAGGTGTTAAAAAAAAAAAAAAATCTGGGCAAAGAGTGACTGCTAGTTTCATTAACAGAGATGGGGGGGATGGTGGGAAGAGTGGAGTTGGAGGGAATGTCAGTAGTTCAGTTTCGGTCATGTTAAGTTTGAGGTGCCTATGGGACAACATCTGCATTAATATGTCAGGCCAGGGGCCCCCGACCTATGGTGAGTTGTATAATTATTTCATTATATATTACAGTGTAATAATAAACACAGTAAATGGAAGGCGCTTGAATCATCCCGAAACCATCCCCACCTCTCTGGTCTGTGGATAAATTGTCTTCGATGAAAACGGTCCCTGGTGCCAAAAAGGTTGGGGACTGCTAAAATAGGCTGTTTGTGAGTGAGGAGCTCAGGGAAGTCTGGGACTGATGTGGGGAGAGGGATATGGAAGAAGTGATGTGGAGTATCAGAGTAAGTGTGGTCAGAGGGTTAGATGCTGGAAATCAGAATTGTGGACATGGTGCATTTATTGGTGATAGTAAGTTCTAGGGGAAGGTGTGACTGGGTCGTAAGAACAGCTCATTGGAGACAGGAAGAAGACAAGAACCTTAGAGGCCAGGGTGTTGGAAGGATCTGTCCATGGATGTTGAAGTAAAGGAAGTGTGACACTTAGTGGTGGGAAGAGAGGTGTTCGAATCCTCACTGAGAGAGGGCAGCGAGGAGGAAAATGGTACATATCTGCAGCAAGGAAAGTAGCAGGTGAAATAATCCGGCTGAGGTATTTAAGGAAGGAAAGGAGAAACAGTGTTGACTTGGAAGGGTAACTCCCCCTTCAGGTCCGTCTTAATGAGAGGATAAGAAAAAAACTGTGGTACTCCTCATATACGGCAATGATTCATATTAGCACTTAGAAACCATTTAGTTTTTTTTTTTTTTGAGACCTGGTCTCACTATTTTACCCAGGCTCCAGTGCAATGGTGCTGTCATAGCTCACTGCAGCTTTGAACTCCTGGGCTCAAGTGATCCTGCTTCAGCCTCCTGAGTAGCTAGGACTACAGGTGTGCACTACCACACTGGCTAATTTTTAAATTTTTTGTAGATACCGGGTCTTGCTGTGTTGCCCAGGCTGGTCTCAAACACCTGGCTTCAAACGATCCTTCTACCTTGGCCTTCCAAAGCACTGGGATTACAGGCATGAGCCACTGAGCCTGGTTTATATAGCTTTCTTTATGTGATAAACATAGAAATGTCTGTTTCAGTTACTGAAAATATTTGAAGTTGTGCATACCCTCAAGAGACTCCTCACCCCCCAGTTAAGAGCATTTGAGTAGATATAAAGCTGTTAACAATAAAGATGTGTTCATTGGCATATTCCTAGCATATATTTTCCTTTTGATTCTGCAAGTGTAGAGAGAGCACTGTATCCTATTACAGATGTTTCTCAATTTATGATAAGGTTATGTCCCAATAAACCCATTGTAAGTCGAAAATGCATTTAATCTACCTAACCTATTAAACATCATAGCTTAGCCTATCTTAAACGTGCTCAGAACCCCTACATTAGCCTACAGTTGGGCAAAATCATCTGTCACAAAGCCTATTTTATGATAGTGTTGAATAGCTCATGAAATTTATTGAATTATAAATTCAATATAGAATAGTGTACAGAAAGTGAAAAACAAAATGGTTGTATGGATACTTGAAGTGCAGTTTCTACTGAAGTCATATTGCTTTCTCATCATTGTAAAGTTGGAAAATTGTAAGTCAAGCCATCTTAAATCAGAGACTATCTTGTATTTAGAATAATTGGTTATAGTATTAACTGATACGTTTACTTTCTCCCCTACTGCATGCCTATCATGCTCCAAGTACTCCCCACTAGATTCGGCGGATTCAAAGAGAAAACATTACATAGTCTTTCAGAAGCTTAAACTTAGCATAAGAGGCAGATGGTATTGCCCTATGATTATAGGTGACGTAATGTGTGACAGGGTGCATAGAGTGCAGTGGAACTACAGAGGGTAAGGTGAGAAATGGTGGCCAAGGAAACCTTAGCAGAGGAGGTGAATTGGAGGTAATCTAGCGATTAGATGGTAGGTTGTAGAATCTGCTAGTCCTTATTTTAAATTCTAGTTCTGCTGCTGGAGAATTATATAATTTGCGACAAGTTAAATCACTTCCCTAAACTATATGTTTCTCATCTGTAAAGTGAGGGTAATATCTATCTAAGGCTATAAAGATTAAATAAGAAAATGAGAAGAGGCCGGTGGCTCATGTCTGTAATCCCAGCACTCTGGGATGCTGAGGTGGGAGGATTGCTTGAGTTCAGGAGTTCGAGACTAGCCTGAGCAAAAGTGAGATCCCATCTCTACCAAAAAGAAAGGAGAAAGAAAAAAAAAAACCAAAAACATCCAGGTGTTGTGTGGCGCGTGCCTGTAGTCCCAGCTACCCCGGAGGCTGATACATAGGATTGCTTGGAGCCCAGAAGTTGGAAGTCGCAGTGAGCTGTGATGACGCCATTGCATTCTATCCCGGGCGACAGAGTGAGATTCTGTCTCAACAAAAACAAGGCAACTGAACACCCCTCTTCACAGTACCTCTCCCCCCTCCAAAAAAAGAAAATGTGAAGAGTTTAACAGCATAGTCCCTGGGAGGTACATATAGGTGCTCATTAAATCACAGCTGTTGTTGATGTTGTTAATCTTGCTGTTTATTCCTGCTGCTGCTATGAGTCTTTGAAGGATGAGTTGGTGTTAGCTAAACAAAGAAGGGACAGAAGAGAAATAGCTTTCTGTAGGGTAG